TTTGCCTTTCTGTGTCTACCTTATTTCACTTAGCACGCTGTCCTCCAGGTTAATCTATGTGTCACAGTTGGTGGCATTTCCTTCTTCCTTAAGGCTAAATAATGTTCCGTTGTATCCTAGTGGGCTCTGCATCTGGCCGTCCATTTATAACAGACCAGTAATCATAAGCATAGCAGCTTCCTAAGTTCTGTGAGTCATTCTAGGGGCTTATCAAAACCAAACAGCATTGTGGGTATCCCAGATTCGACAGCCCAGCCTGTCAGAAGTATGATCAGCCCCCAGGACTTAGGGCTGGCATCTGAAGTGGGCGTGATCACATGGGACTGAGCCCTTGAGCCTGTGGGTTCGACAGTAACTTCAGGTGGTCAGTGTCAGAGCCGAGCTGAGTGGTTGGACAGCCAGTGGGCATCAAGGAGCTGCTGTGCTGGAAACGGCAGGGAGCCTTTGAGATGACAGCAGCCCCAGCCACTGTCTGACAGCAAAACCAAGAGCCTCCCAAGTGAGATGCACGTTAGCAGGGCCCACTGAGCCCCCAGAATAGCAGAGATGAAAATAAAATGCTTGTCGTCTTAGGACGTTTATAGGTGTACTCGGTTATGGGGTGATTTGTTATGGAGCAATGGTGACTAAGGAGTATCAAGGATCCACATGGGGACAAAGGCAAAATCAGAAGTGAAAGAACGGGGAAGGCAAAAGGCATGGGGGGGGCGTGGTCAGCTGTGGTTCTTGGGTTGCTGGGGACAGAAAGCTACCCTGGATTAAGGGGACAAGAAGAGAGAGATTGATGGGAAGTACTCTGGTCAGCTCACAGAATGGACGGAAGTCGAGTGACCAGGACTCAGGAAGGACGGGATCCAGGGCCGTGCTGGGGCCCACAGGGTGCCACTCCCCTCATGTCTCCCCTCGTGGTAAAGGGAGGGGGACATTCTGGTTGGTGTGGTTCGGTTACCTACCCATCCTGTTGGGGGAAAAACAGGAGGGAGGGACCCAATGACTCACAGCCCACCAGAACCACAAGGAACGCAGTAGAGGAAGTCCCCCCAAAACAGTGGGAAGTTGTGGCTGGGCAGGCAAAATCAAATGATAACTACCGTATTCATTAGGGTTAGTGCGGATGACAGAGACCTAAAGTGACAACGGCTTGAACAAGATCAGTTTATTTTTCTCGTGTGTAAAAACCCAGAGGTAAGTCATGCAGGCTGGTGTGTTCTTAGGTATGAAGTCTCAGGGCCCAGCTCCTTCCTCGGGGACCAAGATGGAGCTCAAGCACATCTAAGTTCCAAGCACAGGGATGGAAGGACGCCAAGAGCGTGTGCCCAGCAGTCTTTATGGGATGATTCTGGGAAGAGCCGCAGTTCTTGCATTCCATTGGCCAGCACTTACTTAGTCACGTGACCATAAAGCTGCAGTGCAGGTTGGGAAATACAGGCTCTGCTGAAAGTTCTATTACCCCTAAGAGAAGAGGGGACCCAGGGGACCACGATCAGGTCCTGCCACACCCACTACGTGCCTTCTGGCTGCCTGGTACACGCATACATTTCCACATATTTCATATTTTTATTTAATTAAATTAATCAGTTATTTTTATTTTGACAGTACATTTACTAAAGCTGGGGACAGTGAAACAAGGAAGGGCTCAGGACAGAAGAAGCAACGGGAGAGAGCCTGGGCGGGGCTGCTTCGGCTCACTGGAGGGTCAGAGAAATGCGGGCCTTGGAGACAGGTTCAGGGGGTGAGACCGGGACGAGATGCCACAGCGCATTGCTCCCCCGGTTGCAAGTCTGTGGGGTCCCTTAGAGTTGAGGGGATGCACGCCTGTGGGGGAAGAAGGAGAAGGGAAAGGCATGGGTGTGGTCCCGGGAGGGAGAGCTTGCCTTGGATATTTTTAAATGTTCCCACCCATCATAATGTAACCACGATAATCTTGTGCTCAACCGAGAACACAGGCGCCCATCCCCAGGAAACACAGATTCAGGTCCAGGTGCCGGCAGGGCTGCAAGTCCAGGACCTCTTCCTTCAGTCCCATCTCAAAGTTTGCCACCTGGGGACCAAGCCGAAGTTTAACCAGCACCAACTCACTTTACACATGTATAATAATGAGGAAAAGGAGAAGAAAAGAGATCTAATAAAAGAAAAAAATTTTGAAGTCACTTTTTAAATTGTTGCACATGTTATTTTTTAAAAAGATTCTTATATGTATATATTTTTTATTGTTGTTCAAGGACAGTTTTCTGCCTTCTCCCCCCACCCCTCCCCTAAAAGACTTTAATAACAATAATACGATGCAGCAAGCCAGGAAGTGCCGGTGGGCACTAGCCACAGTCCCCATTCCCACAGTCACAAGTTTGGAGCTGCCTTTCCTCGCTTCCCCTTTTCACTACCCTTTCCAACATCCCCTTGTGTTTGGCCAGCATCAAAATTGGTTTCTTTGCTCAGACCTCTTTGCTGAAAGGTCTGAGCCCTCAACAGTCCAGCCTAAGTAGGGATTCTGTTATCTTTTTAAACCTTTATCTTTTGCTGGGTAATAAATGACTCCTACATTTAGAGGTGTGCAAAACAACAATAAATAGCCAAGGGTCAGGTGGAATGACCAATTCCCAACGTCCTTTTTGACACTTGAGTTTTTTTTGAAATTAAGTCCAGGCATTGAATTTGGTTGATAAATGTCTTAAGTCTCTTTTAATTTATCAGTTCTCTTTTACTCTCTTTCTTTAAGGTGTTTATTTATTTATTTTTGGGGTCACAGTCTTGATTTTGCTGGCTGCATCATTGTGGATGTTCAATATGTTCGTCTGGTAATTGGATCTAGGGGCCTGATAGATTCAGGTTCGATTTTTTTGTTGTTACAATTCTATTTCATCAGGAGTTACATGTCTAGTTGTTTCTTTTCATGTTGTTAGCAGTCATCAGTGATCATCACTTAGATTCACTAATTCATTAAGGGTTGCTTGGGGTCCATAGTTAAACATTATTAATCATCATGATTATTACTGAATGCACTGAACTTGCATTCTAAGAACCCGAGGGCTCTGGGTAGGAAAATACCGACCACCTCCCGGGTGCCCTCTGTCCACCTAGGACTGTGCTGGAGGCTGTGCCTGCTGTCATTCATTTCTCACATCCTCGTTTTACAGAACCATATCGCAGGCCTTGAGAAGCTGCTGAACATGGAACCTAACTTCCCTGAGCTTGTCTTACCAGGTTAACCTGAAAAGAAAAAAATACTTTTTATCTATGTACCCACCTACCTATTTATTTCGATACTGCAACAGCAGGAGGGACGATTGTAGGCAAATCCTCTGGATCCCGTTGATCAACGGTAAATAATTTTTCCCACTTGCCTCAGCCTCTACTCTCCTCCCTGCTCTCATAACCCTTTGTGGCTACAAAAGTACTTTACACACTGACTTATAATTAGTTCTGTCTGTTAGTTTCTCAAATTATAATTAACGGAATGTCTTCCCAGAGATGCCAGGAAATTGAGGCTCAGTTAAATATTCAGTCGGGAGGCTAGACTGATACACCAGCCTGCTTTATAGCTTGGGACTAGTTCACCTCGGTAGGTATAAAGCCTCAAATCTTGTTAATTTTTCTTTGTGTTCTCTTTTAACCTTCCTTATGTCTAATTACAACAGGCTGCTTACCTTGCTCAATTTAGTTTTATGGTAATTTTTTGTGCTGTCTTAAAAAACAAAACATTTTATTTAGCCCTGGCTGGTGTGGCTCAGTGGTTGAATGCCGATCTATAAACCAAAGGGTTGCTGGTTCCATTCCCAGTCAGGCCACATGCCTGGTTGTGTGCCAGGTCCCCAGTTGGGGGAACATGGGAGGCAACCACACATTGACGTATGTGTGGTTGCCTCTCATGGGCCCCCTACTGGGGACCTGGCCAACAACCCAGGCATGTGCCCTGACTGGGAATGGAACCAGCAACCCTTTGGTTCCCAGGCAGGTGCTCGATCCACTGAGCGACATCAGCCAGGGCAGCACAATCCCTTTATAGAGTAGACATTGGAAGAAAAATGATACTGCTAAATAATAGTCATAAATGGCAGTACTAGAAATGTCCTCTGTGGTTCATAATCTTTGGACTATAGATAAATAAAATGAAGATTTAAAAAAAGTTTTAAAATTCATTTTAGGATACAGAATTTTAAAATGACTTTTAAAAATTGTTATTGCAAATCTGTTTTCCGGCAAAGGATTTTTATATATAAATCCACTTTTACACTGTTGCTTTCTATTCTTGCTTTTCTTAAACGACTTAAGACTTGCTTTTCATTTCATCAGTACAACTCTCTTGTCCCCCCTGTACCAAATTCCCAGACTTCCTCATTGGTGGGCAGAAGTAATGACCTGACATACTTTGTCTGAATTTCCAAGAAAGACACGGACCTCCCCACCACTGAAACCTTTGGTAGAAACATACACGCTTAAGTAGGAATGTAAAAACTCACCGTGAAAACCCTCCCAAAAGACCCACAACACCAGTTTTGGAAGTTTAAATATTTTTCTTTTCGAATCAGGGGCTTTCATTAATATTATAATTATTAAAAGATTAAATTTTATATAAGAGGTCACTGAACAAGAATGGCTGCGAACACAAGCAATCTCCAGAGAGCGAATGTTGTGTCTGTTGTTCCCAAGAAGCCTCCCTTTGTTTGCTTTTTATAATTGTGGTAAGATATACATAACATAAAATTTACTATTCTAACAATTTTTTAAGCATACATGGCATTAAGTGAATTCCCAGAGCTATGTGCCCTGGCAATTCCAATTCACTGTTCCTCGCCTCCCTCCGTTTTTGTTTTCTTTTTCACCATTAGGGGGCGGTCGTAGACAGCACATCAGCCGCCCTCCCTAAAGTCACCGCGCACGCATGCGCATCTCACCTGCGGGAAGGTGACCAGCGGGACGAGGCACAGCCTGGGGGCGGGGCCGGAGCACGCAAGCGGCGAGCGGCGCGGGCATTGTGACGTCAGGCCGGTTGGCCCGGCCCGCAGCGGGTGGTGTCTCCCGGAGGTGCTTCCCACTGCGTGACGCGCGGACTCCCCTCCCCGCTGCCCGCCCGCCCGCCCGCCGGCCTCGCCGCCTCCTTCGCTCCCTCAGCGCGCAGAGCGCTGGCAGCGGCCGGGGCGGAGGCCCAGGGCGACGCGGGGCCTATAAGAGAGCCGGCGGGCGGGCTTCAGAGCACCGGGCGGCTCGGGTCCGCTGCCGGTCAGTGCGCGGCGGGCGAGCAGCGGGCGCGGGTCTATATGGCGGCGGCTCTGTCGGGCCTGGCTCTCCGGCTCTCGCGTTCCGCCGCCGCCCGCTCCTATGGGGTCTTCTGCAAGGGGCTGACCCGCACGCTGCTCATCTTCTTCGATCTGGCCTGGCGGCTGCGTATCAACTTTCCCTACCTGTACATTGTGGCTTCCATGATGCTCAACGTCCGCCTGCAGGTGGGTGAGCCGCGGCCGCGGCCGCGCCCGCCCGGCCCCTCTCCCCACACGCTCCCCAAACGCGGGTGCGCCCTGCGCGGTCCGGCCACCTCGCCCAGGGCGCTGAAGATGCTGGGTGTTTGCCAAGCACCGTGCATTGGGAACCCCATGGGAGAAAATCCCGCAGAAGTTATTGTTATCCCCATTCTGCAAACGGGGCCGGGGTGGGGGCGAGGTGGAGAGCTTACTGTGGCTTGCCTGGGTTAAGGGCCTGCTGTGGGCGCGGATCCACCAAGAGGCGGGTGGATGCTGCTGGCTCGGGCTAAAAGGCTCTGGCCCGGAAGGGAAAACGTTGCCCAGACAATTACAAATTGGGCCTCTGGGCGGGGTGGCTTTATGGTTGACTTTTCTAGTTCCCAAACTTAATGGAGCGTCGAAAGATAGTATCCTTGAAATTTAAAGTGGACTAATGCGTGTTAACTAATGCTCTGATAGATGTATCTTATTTATCCTGGCCGTGGTGGAAGTGGGATAGGGGTGAAGATGAGGAAAAAGGAGGTGGGAGAGGTGGAGACAGACGCAAAGGGTTCAGAGGCCAGAAACAAGTCAGCTGTGAAATTGTGGAGACAACCCCCCCCAACCCTGGAGATCACCTTTGTTACAAGCGACTGACATGTTTACGTCCTTCGAGTTACAGATGCCTGTTTCTAGTGGAATGGAAAGTCGTCAGATTGAGAGTTATGCTTTCCAAGTGTGTTATTCGTGACCAAGTGCAGCCTGCTGTTGGATTCTGTTTCCCTCTTCTGGAGTGGCTACTGGGGACTGGGGCCAGGTCCAGGCCGTTTGATGGACGAGGGACAGGCTGAGGGACAGGCCCCAGTCCCTCGGGAGGTTGCAGTCTGGCAGTACCTGTGTGGCTCGGCTCCCTGGTGTGCAAAATGAGGAAGCCTGAGCTCTAGGCCCAGGCAGTGCTGACACGGGGAGGTGTTGTCCTTTTTTCCCCCTTCTGGTTCGGTTGTACCAGAATGACATTGTCCCTGTGCCTGGACCTTCAGGTTTTGGGTGCCTGTCACTAGTGATGGCAGACCATATAAAATGTGAAACTAGCTGTTTATCAAAATTGTGTTAAGGTAAGGTGAGATGAACTGGCCTATTTCAAGGTCCAAATAGAGATACTTTTATGTGAGCAAGGGCTTGCGGCATCCTGAAGTGGTAACCCACTAGAGGAGTTGAAAACTCAGATACCTTTCTAGCAGATGGTATGACTGGGTCAGATGTGCTGGGCGTTGGGACTGGGGTTCCAGCGAGCTCTGCCCCAGCCAGTTGCTGCTTGCTCATTGTTGTTTGCCAGATCGAGTGATTTCCAAGGGAAATTGGATAGCTGCTTTTTAGATATCAAATTAATAAATTTAAAAAAAAAGCTTTGTGGGTAGAAAAAATATGTGTCTGCACTTTGGAAACTCTTGTTCTACAGTTATATTAATAATTTGCAGTCATTTATAAAATTACATGAATAACTGTAAAAGAAAACTTAGTACATAATGTTGAAAATTAGTTTTGTACCATTAAAAATTGGTGCAAAATATGTCCACTTATGCAATACTTATGCCCGCCCCCTGAGTCCAGGCCACCATCCTTACTCACCCAGATGACTGCAGTAGCCTCCCATATGTTTTCCAGAAGATCATGTCATCCTTCACAGAAACGAAAAACAGAACTTCCCATAGCACACAGAATGCAGGTCACCTGTTTTACTCTGCAGATCTGACTTCTGTTCATCTTTCTTGACTCTCAGCCAGCTTGTTTCTTGGTGTATTGGAACAGTGCTCCAACCAACTGAGCTACCCAGCCAGGGCTCTAGCCAGCTTGTTTCTTGCTTACTCTTCTTTCTCACTGTTTCCTGTCTGAGGTCTGAGTGCACCAAGCCCCTGCCTGCCCCTGGGCATGTGCTCGTGTGATTCTCTCACCTTGAGTTCTCTGTGCTGGCGTTTTCAGTGCTGGTTCACTCTCCCACCTTGGTTCTCACCTCAGGCAGGACCTTTGTATCACCATATTGACGTGACCTTGCACCTGCTCTTTTCCTTGTGAGAATGCTGAAGGCTTGTTTGTTTCATGTGCAATAAGGAATAAAGGATTGCAAATCTCTCCTGGTTTGTAGGGCAGTGAGATGATCTCTGCAAAGGCTATTCAACTGCAAATTTTATAACTGGGAATCTGTGTGGTGATGTTTGAGGGTAAGTGCATTTCGAAGCGGGGAAGTGGCTCTACCATAGTGACGCGGGCAGTCAGGAGAGCTAGGTGCACCTGTCCCAGCTGCCCAGGAGAGACGCCTCGGTGGACATGGCGCCACGTGACCATCCAGGTGCAGCACAGCCTCAGTGACTCCTGGGAGCTGAATGCCCTAGGAATCACACCTTGGCCTTTGCAGTCTGGTCAGGGGTGGGCGGGGTGGGGGCACTGGCAAGGTGGTCACAGGGACCTTGGGAAGAGCTGCCCATGATCGACATGGAGGCTTTAGGTTTGGTCTCGGGTCTGATCAGGTGCAGCAGCAGCCATTCCCAGGGTGAGATTTCCTCTGGTATTCGCATCTGCTCCTGCAAACTCCCCTGTAGGTTTAGGGTTTCTGTTCATTTGTGGAAATGACTAACGTACCTGATTTGAGGCTGTAATTATTCTCATCTCCGGTAAAGGGAAGGGCAGCAGAAGAGAGGGTCTGAGCAGAGGGGCAGCCCCGGGTCTCCGTGTTCCTTTGGCTCAGGTCACTCCGTCCCCATTCTTTCCATTGCAGGGGGACCGGGATAAGGGACTCCACTTCCCACACGTTTCCTTGGAACCCTTGAATCACTTGTAGGGCGGCAGGACATTTTAAGGAGGTTGATATCTAACGCAAAAGGTGATTAAATGAGAAGAGGGTTTTATAAACTGAGAAGGGTTATGATTCAAAAATACCCTTTGGAAGCACACCTTAATCTAGAGCCATCAGCACCCTGCTTATTTGTGTAGAGTCTGAAGGACGTGGCAATAAAAAATTAAGAATCCATACCAACCCCCGAATGCAAATTTTCTACAAGGTAGAAAATTGTACTGAGAACCAATCGTAATTGAACAAGTCCTGCCTACACCTTCTCAGGCCTGTGGGAAGAATCAAGCGTCTCGGCCTCAGCTCACCCAGGGTTTTATAACTGTTAAGAGAGAAGGACTAAAAAGAACAGCTGGGGAAAAGGAGACGATAATTGTTAAACCGAGTTGTCACGGCTCCTTGTCTCCTTTGAGGTCCCCGTCAGCCACACTGCCCTGTGCTGCCCAGGCCCGAGAACCTTCCTCTGGCCCATCGCTCTCCTCGTTCTGTTTCTAACTGCTCCTTCATAGTCCTTTTCTGAACGACTTTCTAAATCCACAGCTCCACGTGGGCCAGTGATCACCTGCCGCCTAGAATCTTCGTTTGTTCATTGCAGTCAGGCAAAGCGTTCAGGAAGGCAGGTGGGAATGGGGAAGCTGGTTGCCTCCTACACAGCACGTCAGCGTGGACCCCGTTGATTAGATGGCTTCTGAGCGAAGAGGAGGTGAGGGCTTCAGCCTCAGAAATGTCTGAGATGGGTTAGCAGGGTGTTTCACTTTGCACAGAGAAGACCTTACAGGCAAGCTGTGCTATCCTTGACTCAAGTTTTTGAAGTCTTACAAGTGCAAGCAGATATTAGAATGTATAAATTAGATCTGCATGTACTCAGGTTAAAAGATACCCACCATATATAAAGAAGAGCGAATGAAAAAAAACAAAACTACCTGTTGTCCCATTTAAAAAATGCGTACATATGCTTGTCACTGCCTGGGGGTGGGAGGGAGCATTCCAGGACCCGGGAGGCACCCTGACTCGGGAGGGAGCCTGGTCACTGCTTTTCACATGATCTTGGAGAAGAACCAGTGTTTCTTCACCTCCATAGACTGGGTAACATAAGCAGACACTTATTTCTCACAGTTATGGAAACTGAGAAGTCCAAGGTTAAGGCACCGGCATGGGCAAGGTCTCCTGAGGGCCCTCCTGGTTCCTGGCTGGCTCCTTCTCATGTGTCTGTAGGCGATGGAAGGGGCCGGGATCTCTGTGGGGTCTCTTTCATAGGAACACAAATCCCATTCGTGAGGGCTCCACCCTTGTGAGGTCAGTACCTCCCTGAAGCCTTAGCTTCCAGTGCCATCATCTTGGAGGGTTCAGCGTATGAATTGTGGAGGGAACACAAACATTTAGACCATAGCACCACCTGATAGCTAAAAAGGAATTGCTTTCACATGAGGAAGAGTGAAGGCGGGCCTGACCTTACACCATACACAAAAATCAACTCAAAATGCATAAGAGACCTAAACTTAGGAGCCAAAACAGTAAAGCCCTTATAGAAAAAAACGGGAACATCATGATACTGAATTTGGCGATGATTTCTTGCCAAAAGCACAGGCAACAAAGAAAAAGTAGGTGATTTGGACTTGATCAAAATGAACAGATTTTGTGCAGCTAAGGACGCCATCAGGAGAGGGGAAGGTCTGGACAGCTTCGTGGGATGGGAGGAAGTGTTTGCACATGGTGTGTCTGTCTGATAAGGATTGACAGCCAGTGATGCAAAGGACCCCTGCAACTCCGCAGTACAAGCAGCTTAATCCAGAGGTTGGCAAAGGGCTTGAAAAGACCTTGCTCCAAAGAAGATACAGTACAGATGGTATTTATACAGATGGTACAAGATGATGCAATATGTCCCCTCCCTTGTCACCCAGTGATCGCTTCTCCGTCCTCTGTTGGACAGAGCCCTCCAGCAGCATCTCATCACTTGTTTCCTGTGCACTCCTGACCGTGGCAATGATGGTGACAGCTGCTGTTCATTGGACACCCATGGGGTGCTGGTCCACACGATGTTAGGTGCTTTCACACATTGAGTCCTCGACACTTTGAGGAAAGAGGATTGTTTGTCTGAGGTCCCCAGCTGGGACACAGCTGCCCCAGCCCCTCGGATGTATGAGCAAATGCACCTTTGGCA